CACAGGAAGTTGTTAGCATTATTTGAACATCTGAAGAAGTTCCAGAGCATAACGCTGCAATTACAGCGTGATGATACGGACATGGCAGAGGTGCGGCTTATGTTCGATGCCCTTATCACTGAGTACCCTGTGATGGGCGAACATCTCAAGCAATCGGCTAAGATCGTCCACACCCCTGCTTTCGAATCAGGGGTGGCCAAAGTTATCACTGGTGCAGTTCTTTCTTCGCCGGAAACAGCAGCCCTAAAACGCTTTGAGTCACCTCCACCAGCAGGAAAGAAGCGCAAGCAACGTGAAGAGGAAGATTACGCGTCGTTGTTACTCCAAGGAAAAGGGAAGAAGCGCAAGCAGTCCCCGGATGCTCCCACTTACGCCCCACTTGTGAAGATGATCCCTCCAACTTCAAACCATGTGGAGCGCCTATTCTCTCAGTGCAAGCTTGTTTTGACTCCTCAACGACGTGCTATGTTTCCTGCAAACTTTGAGTAGCTTTCGTTCCTCCGCGTAAACCGAGACATGTGGGATGTTACAACAGTAGCAGCAGTTAGCACGGAAGAAACCCTGTAACATATAATCATACAGGAGTGGTTTGTTACACTGCGTTTAATATTTGTCAATTTTTAAAATTCCATTGTACCAAAGTACCTTGTATTTAGCAACAAAATGAATCATACTTCTGTAGGTAATTCATTCAGCTTTACAATGCATATTTTGCTGGTTGTTAGTTTCACGTATTGGCGAAGAAGAAGCATTTCGAGTGAAGCAAGTTGCCGTGTCAGTCCGTAGTCCCTCTTTAAAAGAATAGGTTAGGGTAGCATTTGGTGATCATTCATAGGTTAAATTTATTATAACGACTAGAGATTTTATTGGTTGAAACAAAACGTAATTCCCAGGGAAGAAATTTCTGAGAAGCGAAGTATTAGCCAATGAAATTGCGAATAGGAACAGAGGCAACTTCAACTTAAAGTAATAGTAAGTTCTAGTAGTGTACTACATGTCATTGAGCAATAACAAACATGCCCAAGAAGTGCAAACGTCTCGCGCACATCGCCAGGTTGGCAGGTACTCGACGACTTGAGCAGCCTCAAGTTCGACGCCTCACATTGGCTGAAAATGTGGGAGAAACCGAGGTGGCGTGGTGCGCACCGGGATCCCCCACGCCGTCTGGAGACTACACATCAAACAGCGGTGACGGGTCTGATTTCGAGGGTCCGGACTTGTATACCATAGAATTTGTATACGCCAAGATGGCGATGTATTGTACTTCGTTGGGTGGGTTGGCTACCCACGACCAACTTGGCAACCAGCTAGCGACTTACCCCAAGATATGATCGCACGATTCGAAGCAGAAGAGCTCGGTACGACCTGGCCTGTCGATTACCGAGCTTTTGTCCCTACTAGGGTTGCTACAGGTTCTCATGGACGTGGTAGAAGAGGTAGACGAAGTTAACCTACAATAAAATAAAAATTGCGGCACTATTTATTATTGTTTCATGTAAAATTGCAATCTTTATTGTTGCTCGCTAAGAAGAACAATTCATTTTACGGTATTGGCGGACCTCTCATACTTACTTAGGTATAGGAGTAGTCATTTATTTATCATCTGTAGTATTAACTTTGATGTTGCTAGTAACTTGCTACCCATATATATCATATAGAATTTACATTTGTATGACCATTGAGCATATTGGCCATAATAGCGTATGTGCATGTAAATACTGTGTTTGAGGATTTTAAACAACCTGATACCATATCTATTGATTCTGTACTCAAAAACATTGCCTACCTACCTAATACTGGACGATGCACTAGTTAATACATGATAGTAATATAATAATTTTCGAAAAGTATCTAATGATAATACTAACATTTTACCTAGTACTTCAATCACTATAAGCCCCTGCCTGTGTCTAGGTTTTACAAGATTTTTATCTATAAATTCGTACCGAAGTGCAGATCCGTAAAATAGCCAGATGCTGATAGATCCCTAATTTTTGAGCATTTATAGACCTGTTATAAAAGGTGAGTTTTTGTGAAAACCGGTTCGATTGTCCCTCGATTTTGCTATGCAGAAAGGAGCTTAAGGGTCAAATCAAATGATTATAAATGGAGAGACGACATGATAAAAAGGTTTAAATAGGGGTATAGTGGCATAATTTGTAGTTAGTCTCTACCGCGGTGGGAGAGATAATGTTCATAGCAGACAGCTTCTGACAGACAGAAAATTATTGTAAAGTCAACGGGTGTCGTCTGCCAGCGATGTATGCAGCAGTATTTTGCTGAAGAGCTATCGTTCTTCACTATGCCGACCGTGTTCCACGTGACCAAGTAGGTCGGGGTTTTGGAGTGTCGGGCAGGACTGTTTCGCGGTGGTACCATCGGCTCACGAAGAATGGCCACATTGACCGTGGAAAGCACCCGAATCGACAATCACATAGCGCTGAGCTAGTTGCGTACGTGAGCAACTACGTAACAGAGCACCCATGTTTTTACGTGGAAGAATTGCAAGAAGAATCAAAGCATCGTTTCAGTCACAACGTCAAAGGCATCTCTGCAACAAGCTTATTGCGACTACTGCGATTTGAGCTAGGCCCCTCTCGGAAAGTGCTGGAGCGTCGCGCCGGTAAGGCTGTACCGAAGGAGATTGAATGCTTCTTGAGTAAGATGTCCAAGTGGTACAGTTACCCCGATCAAGTCGTGTTTATTGATGATACTTCGAAGAACGGTAGTGACGCGATGCGTCGGTTTGCATGGTCGGCTAAAGGCATATGCTGGTAAGTATGGCTCGGTGCCGTCGGGTTGGCTAGCATGTGATGTTTCCCAATAAGTGCGGGCGATCGGGCCAACTTGAACGTCCGTGTGCTCTAGTAAATAGCCTTCGATAGCGTGAACAGCTTCAGTGATCCTAGATGATGCAACACGACGAATCCTTACGGCTTGAGTCTCCCTCTCTGCGAAGACAAACTGGTCAATTGTGAAGGGACCTGTGACCTTCTTGCGCTTGTTGTAATGTCCTCGTGCGACGTCAATGTAGTGCTTCCAGTTGGAGGATGTCAGCGCTACCCACTCGGCTTGTTTGGCATCTAGACTTGCCTTTAAGTAAAGGGTAGTGTCGTCTCGAATAGTTTTTATCGCCTGCAGAGCTGGAGCAACAATGTTGTTGACCTGAGCTTGCAAAGCATCAAATGTGTCTAGTTCCTCGTCGAAAGTGAAGATTGGATTGCCGATATTAACATTGGTTCGACTTGTCTTCGTGATTGCACCGATCATGATGGATATCCGAGCAAGATGCATCGCTGTTATCTGCTAGGCTGATCTTGGAATGCCGTAAAAATCGGACATTTGGCCCGATATATAAATAAATCAGCTCGCAACCGATTTTATAAATAAATCGGATCATGTGTAGTGCCCCTTAAATGGCGCTGTAAATCGGTGTATTTATCTCTAATTTACTGCTACCTCGTCGGAGTTATAAGTATGATGAGACCGTTATGTAATTAGAGTCTATTTAGAATCCAGATTCCTTCCTACAATGGTAAAATGTAAGTCCACTGCACCTAATGAATTCATTTTTCAATTTGCTTCGCTTTACAATAAGCAGCACCTAAAAATCCACACAATTTCGCACTACGATACACTAGAAGGGGTTTCAGCTCATGAAGTGTCATGCCTCTAAGTAATAGACGACTTACCGCTGCAGTTCTTACAGACGTGGGTGTACAGCTAAAGTAAACGTTATGATGGACGGTAGAAAAAATCAATTTTCCACATACTTGTAACGGAGGGATCATCGAGATTTCATCGGCCGACGGATCCCGGTCCAATGCGTTTATACTTGCAATTCGGGATGTGTGTCGAGCGATTGCGGAAGAAACCAACATTCTAGCAATTCTACAAGTGAGTAGTCTACCGCCCCAAATCTGGGAGCAAGTCTGAGAGCAATTTGTGATGGAGGGATTAGGGATGACGCGTGGTCTGTCCCGTGAACAAGTAATCAGTCGCGTCTGCCGTATCAGGAGGGTGTATTTTGGTAGATCAATCCACGGACATGTCGAAGTTCCGCCGTTGTCTCAAGCTCGTTATGGACCGTTGTATCAAGCTCGTGATGGATAAAAAAATCCATTTCAATCTCACCTATGCTGGTGAAAACCGTCCTGATCGTGTAGTGATGTAGGGACATCCATTCTTAATCCGTCTATTGACCTATGTCGACGTTTCATTCTTCGTGGGGAACTTCTACTGTGTGTCAACTTCGTTTTACCAGTGCATCATTCTGATGGTTTACGACTGAGGGTCTCGATGCTACGTTCACTGCATGTGGATGCCCAACACGAGCAAAACGGAGTGTAGCTATGGACATATGCTACACTGCGTTCAAGCCGATGCGGGTGAAAACACGAAGACATACGTGCTAGACGCTCGATATCCCAAACGTACACGCGACTCTATGATATATATGGCGTAATGATAGTATAGACAGGCTACACGGTGGGCATCTCAAACGCAACGACAATCATTTAAACGATCTGCAGGACACCCGAAGTAATAATCGGAACGGATGAAGCAACGCTGGCCCTAGGCAATGGAGGGATCAGCGTACTGAGTACCTTTTTGTTCGCGTAAATATAGTATAGGCACGATAGATGCTGAGCATCACAAACGTAACGGCAAGCGTATGAAAGAATGTGGAAACCTCGAAGTAATGCCGGATGTGGGTGAAACCACTGACCAAGGAAGATAGAGGGATCAGTGTACGAGGTACCTAATCCATTTTGGCGGATCAGATAGCTGTGTTCAAGAGAAATATCCCTACTCCGACGCAGATGTCTCCTGTCCCTAGGCGCAGCTCATACCTTGACGGCATCGCGCCTGGCGCACCACCTTGGGATACCCTGTGTGCTGCGTGGACGCCTTGCTACAACGATTGCATTGTTGGACATCTCATTATTCCTGCCGAAGCGCGAGATTGGAAACCATAAATTCAAGACCTGTCATACGAGATGAGCTCTCAAGGAATCAGGGCAACGCTAAAGATTGCCAAGAGTGTTCAGGTGTATCATACCCGACAAATATGAAGGGAAACGATCCTTCTTGGGAAGTTTGAGTTACTACCACACAGTCATCGAGAATTACCAAGTAGTCGCAGCCTCCCTGGATAAATTCTCGGCCAAGTGTGCTCAGGGCGAAATTTGCCAGGGCAAAACAGTTGTTCGAAATCCTGAAGCGCAATATCGTGGCAAACCCTGTAGTGCGGCATCCTGATAGGCCCAAGCCCTTCATTATCATACTGCATGCTAACCAATGGATTGCCTGCCCAGTCCTAGGCCAGAAACATGATGTATTGATACAGTCAGTGCTGTTCACGGAACGCGTCCTTCACATTGCAGAGTTGCGGTATCACATCACCGAGAAAAAATCATTGCTGTGTAGAGAGTGGTGCCAGTTTTCAAGACGCACGCTCAGGGCTGCCCACTTATCTTGTACTCCTGTCACAAAGAGTTTAAGTGGATCATGAAGTCCAAGACAGCAGATGGGATGTCTGTGCCCTGTGGCGTCTTGCTTTCACAATGGAACCTAGACATCAGGAAAATTCATCGAGACGAAGACGGATTAGCTGGCATCCTGGGTGCTGGTATTAACCCGCGAGAGCACCTGGATGAGATCGCTGAGGGAATCGCCTCCGCCAAGGGGCATGCGATACCGCCTCTGGTAGTTTGTTTCGAGATGTTGATGGATACCTTGAATGTATCGCGCAGAATTTTGAAGGTGCTGAAAAAAAGTTAGCTGTGGATGTATTTTTGGGAACTCACTGGAGGAAAGATTCTGGATGCTTATGATTTTATTCTGGAGGACATCACTGGGAATGATGCTGGAATTGGTGGGCTCCTGAACGACTAACTATGGCACAAGCCAAGGGCGTCCGGGACCTCATAGCTGTAGGTGAATCACGAATCGACATCCAGCAAGTGCAATACTTGATTAACAGTAATCAGCCAAACTTGCAAAGGCGACTTGCCAGTTGTGAAGCACAAAAAGTGATATTCGACTCAGTAAGATTAGTGCACGTCAAGCGAGATTGCAATCAGGCGCCATATTATTTTACCTCCAAAACGTTGTTACTTGGACGATCCCAGATTGTCCAGGAGGATGAAGAACACCGGCACTTGGGGCAAGAGGATAGAGGAGGTTGATGAAGGTATCATAGACCCACCCAGCTGAGAGCTCTTTAGTGCTGGTGGGCTTCCAGGATGAAGGAAATAGTCTGGATACATCTGGATGTCCCACGTTGTCATTTGCGGCCAACATCTTGGTTGCTATGATTCGACCCAGTATCTGAGGTAGGCCGGAATCATCAGGATCACTTGATCCTTTGGGGTACCGATGAGAGATGGCGGCCGATCAAAGTACACCAGAAACAAGATGAATATCTGTGTGAGCTAAGAGACTTCCTGAATGACAAAGTTGAACGTTTTGCACCTCGCAAGTTGCGAAAGGTTGCCAAGGTCGCTGACTTATCCTCCCTGGATGCTCGCGGTGTGCTGTACCGGTTGGCTTAGTCCACACGTGGTAGACCTTGAAACACCCATGATTAATTACAGCTGGTAGTGCCCACTACCTTGATGAAGGACTTCCTGCATTATGCTCATGATAAATTCGAGGGAGAACGAACTCATGAGAAGTAGAGTTCTGAATTCTATTAGCCCAGGATGTACGCAGGCGTGGAACGTCATGTTAAGTAGTGTGTCGATTGTGTAAGTGGCATGACACATCCTTCCAATCCTGGCCCATTGCTTGGACATATCGAGCACAGACGGCCGTTTGAAGTTGCTCGATGAATTTTGTTAGACACATGCCAAAGTCAGACCGAGGTAATACGTTCTTCCTCTTTTGATGAAGTCACCCTGGAGGACAACGACGATCGGGGTGGTGAAATGTTACTTGAAGACAGTTGGGAAGCAGACAACCAGAATGATGCATATGAAGTAGAACGAATCCTGGATCTTCGATGGGTCAAACTTACCCGCACATCAAGAAGGACTTGCGAGTACTTGATCAAATGGAAGGGTTATGTTGATCCGGAGTGGTTACCGTTGTCACAAGTCAACGACGGGACTCTGTTGTATGAGTTCAACCAGCGCGTTTCAGGGCGATGCAAGTTGGAGATGACCATCCACAAGTCGAGTTAATTTCACCCACCGATCCTAGATAGGCAACTGACAATGCCTAAGACCGATGAATTTTGTGAAATGTTTTGACTTTGTGGATATTTTTGATTGTGAGAAACCCATAGAATTCTCGCATTTCTGGGTGGTTTTTACTCTGTCCTAAATTCGGGATGACCAAAATTCATTTTGAAATTAAGAAGTACGCTTTAGACTGAAATGGACAAAGGCAACCAAAATGGAAGAAAGATGACATACTGAAATGTATTGGCTTAAGCCTACAACAACTTAAATTACTGAGATCACTACATGTAAATGACTACATCAATACTATGTGTGCGAAGCCGGGTACCATGGCTAACTGATTCAGGAATGATGTTCGCCAGCATCGACTTCGGGATATGAACTACGCGTTTCTAATCGCTGAGTGGTCCACTGCACTCAGACAGGTTCAGCAATTCAAAATATCTAGTTGGTCAACCAGAGCGTGCTGGCTACTACGATCACTGAAAGACCTTGGGTTTATCAGTATTCAGTAACAAGGCTTCAGGGGCAACGTCCATTGTACAGCCTCCCAGAAAATAATGGAACGCGTTCCCTGAGCGATCTACTCTTGCTGCTGGGTTTCCATTGTCCGGGTTAGTGCATCCTACTGACCCTTGCGTCCATGTTGCATGTTGACACCGCCCTGCGTAGAGGCGTCTATGGCGAACCAATGTACGACATGTTAGGAGTCGGACGCGTTCTCTTCCATGAAGCGTATGTACTTGGCTAAAGCCATTGTGTCCCGCGGCGTCAGCTCTCGGTATGAGTATAGCACTAGATGCTTCACGACCGTCTCGAACATGTTTGTCCAGGGTTCCGTCGCCAGTAACGTTTGGACGTCACCTAGGACAAATCGGTGCTAAGGAGTTGAATAGCACCCACCTTGTTGCGGGGAACCCTGCAGACTGATATATGGTGTGGGTCGACGAGGAAGCAAATGTCATCATAATGACACTCCAGGTCCAGGAACTTCCGCAAATTTATGTGCCAGTCACGGCGAATGCACAAGGGTCAACGCGAGCCAAGGGCGACTAATGTCGCAGGCTTCCAGTTCGAACGCGCCGTGAAAGAGTGTTGGCTACGGTGGCTTGTGGGGTCGCGTCTGAATCAGGTTGAGACAACTCAGACGTGTGCGAAGTTGGTGGCAGGTAACACCTCACTCATACTCTGAGCGTCGTCATGGTTCTGGACATCAAAATCTTCTTCATGGTTGTAATTAACGTCACGCTGAAAGTCATCGTGTTCACTACTGGCGTCGTTTGTCACGTACGCCTGGGTCGACCAAATCTGGCCAAAATTTAGGAAACACTACTTCAGAGTAGATGTCAGTCAGACGCAGGTCTGTACGGAGGTGGTAGTATAGTTGAACTAGTGCTATTCATCTATACGATTCCAAAACATCATACTCGTTAGAATGTTTGCAAATGCAGCCGGGGGGAATCAGTTGTGGGCAATGATGTCCTCACTGAAGATGACGATCGCACCGTGGTAGCCAATACCCGTCCGCATCAGCAAATGGACAACAGGGCGGAGAGGTCCCAAACCACGAGCTCATTCTTCATCATCTCGTGTTCATGTGCTTCCGAGAAACATCAACTTGTCTGTGGGAGAACGAGCCCTCGTTCGTTGGTAGATTTTCGTCCAGCAGGTTGCAGCTGTGGAGACTCCGGTGTCTTCGATCTAGATCCCCGTGATTTTGGTTTCTTTGAAGGTGAGTAATCCCGTACAAGAATCAGGATAAGACAACTTGATTGTGCTTTACCGTTTTGGGTGTTGGTGAGCTGGATGTTACCATCTGGTTTCCACTATTGCCCTTCATATCGGAGTCAAAATTATCCTCAGAGAGCACAGTGAAAGATCGATTCTAGGCGAATGGGTCGGCCCCCGCTATGGCAGTGATCAGAGTGCTTCAGGTGCTCACTGGAACGCCACTATCACAGTAGCACTCAAATAAACAATGTAGTCACCCCCAGTTATCATTAATGCGGATTTGATCGCAGTTCAGAAAATTTATCAGACGATGTACATCGAAATGACGTACACCACGGCGACCAAGGCAGCGTTTGGAGCCGTCAATGGCAAAGTCCCGGGGTGGTATCTAGTGGGAATACATCCACGTGTGTGACAACATTTGATATTGACGGGGCATTCGGTTGACGTTCGGACGCATCTTGTTTGTGGCTGTCAATGGCAAGTCCTGGGGTGTTATGTAGTCGGAATTCATCCACGCGCGCGTGCCAACAGTTGCTTTGGATGGGACATTCGGTTGACATTAGTAGTGGCCCACGCTGAAGAACACCAGCGAGACATCGCCCGCATACGCGACCTGGAGACATCCGCCTAGGGCGCCGAAGCAGCCCGTGTCTCGGCCCAGGCCGATCGAGACTCCGCCCAAGCCAGCATCCTTCCGATCGCGTCCCGAGCTGCCATCTTTCGGTCCACGTTAGTAAATACTCGTCGTTTCGCTACTGAGTGGGTGCAGACACATGTGCGCGTTCGTCGCCTGAGTGCGCGTGCGGCTGGGCTTGAGAACGCCCTCGCGTTGAGTCAGCAGGCCTCGCAGGCCGAAGTTGCTCCGCTGGAAGGTCTAATTGACCAGTCTGATCTCGCTTACACTGAGCGCACTATGACTTGGCTCCGTCTGTTGCGGGAAGCTCGCGCTGATCGAGAGTCTGCACGCCTTGCCCGCGACGCGCTCGTGACTCGGGTGAGCGACATGGTGACTGCGGTGGGCGGCTCTCTGGACGTCACCCAGCTTGTGCGTAACCTGGAAAGCCGTGTCGAGGCTTCCACCTACGCGGTCACGCCTCTTCCGCCCGACCTCGACCCAGAGATAGGACGTGCAGCGGCCACGCTTTCCGGACTCCCCGCATCGACCGCCTCTCGTTCAAATACATTGTCAACTGCAGGCTCCAGCTCTTCTGCAGCCTCCACAGTGGACGGGTCGACCTCTACGGCGGTGCCCGTATCATCTTCAGCGCAAGACGATCCTGCGGCCTCTACCACGGGCGCGTCGACACCTACGCTGCCCACGTCTCATGCTATGCCCGTGTCAACTTCGGCGCAGGGTAATCTTGCGACCTCTATTGCGAACGCATCGGCATCAACGACGCCCGCGTCTCCGTCGGTGCCCGCGACGTCGCCCCCCATCTACCGCGTTGCCTGCGTCGTCATCAGTTCCATCTCGCGCCACTGGTCCGGGATGGCCTACGGTTTTCAGTCGATCTGGTCGTGGGGCTCAACGCCTACGTCACAGCCGTCGTTCGTCGACGATTGCAGACACCACTGCGTCGGACAGTGTAGCTCACTCGGGTGGACACTCTTCTCCTACGGCTGTTTCCAGTCTCGGGCCACGCTCTCGCGCGACGTCTCCGGCGTCCCCCGGCGCAGATTCTGATGCGCGTCCCCCTGCGCGTCAACGACGTCGACTCACGCCCCCGGTCTTCGGATCCCGCTTCGGACTCGACCGAGGGTTCGGCACACTCGCGTGCTTCTGGTGGTGGCCGTGACGTCGGGCAGTGGTCGTTTGTTCTCCAGCGACCCTGACAGTGACGATAGCACGCATAACGGAGGGCCAGCGGGCTCTCCACCGGCTGGTGGTGTTGCGCCTGCTGCGCAGCCATTCTTCACCCCAGTTATTTCTCCCTTCCAGCACCATGCGGAGTGGACGCGGAGCCGTTATACTCCCTGACCTCGTGCTCTGAGGGATCTCACTCTCTCGTCTCTCACGGCGGGGGCTTTGCGCGTCAAGCACCTGCCTCTCCATTCCTGGGACTTCCCGACCACGTCGTCTCCCGTTCCAGTCTTCTGGGACCCTACGTTATTGACGGAGCGAATGGTGGAGGACTTTTACGCGACCCGTCCGTGGAACTATCTCACTCGTCGTGCTCATCCGCTGACTATCGACGCTCAAGACCCCCATTATCAGCCGTTTATCGTGCGCTACGAGGTGCACCTGGATCACTGAGCCCAGGCGTACTGGGAGTCGACGCATGAGTTCCCGGTGCCGAACACACCCCGCGTGGACGCGGAGGTGCCGTCGTCGAAATTCGCGTCGGTCCCACGCCGGTGACAACTTAGTGGGTACGTTCCAGCTGCTCCTGATACTATTCCAAGCCGGGAGCGTGGACATGGACGTGCTGTTGGACGTCATGGTGCTCCTGTTTCCTCCGGGTCGTTCCAGCGACGGACGTTGGTACCCTGCCTTGCGGAACTCGACCCTGGAGGCCGCGTTGGTCGACATCGAGGCGCTCGAGCCGTGGCATCGCTTCTTCCATACTCAGCCTGACGCGACTGGCAACACTACTGTTGAACGCGAGCACTCGACGTACTCCGTTCGCCGTCTTGCGTCCAAGTTCGTGGAGCGCGGGTAGGCGCAACCTTAGGAGTAGCAATAGCTACCCATCTTGGTGTAGGCATTTTGCTATTCTCGAATCCAATATTTCCATTCTTTCTTATTTCATGTTATAGAGCGACCCTCCGTCGCCTTATCTTCGGCTAACGAGACGGTCCACCAGACTTCCCACAACTCATCTTCCCAGCTGCTGACCAACTCAGCAACTGGTTCCTCCACTTCCTCCCGTCGAAGGTCACCCCATCGACTTCAGCACCCACCGGCGTTCAGCTCTCGGTAAACGCGTCCTCGTGGGACTGCATCACCTCGAATCGGCTTCAACCTTTGCGTTTCCGCAGGAAGTCATACAAAAGTCCTCCACAACTCAAGTCCAGCTCGTCTATCCAGCTCGTCTCTCGGTATCCTAGCTACTTCACATGGAACTCGCGCCGCGTTCATCCATAGCGCGTTGTGCGACCTTCGCGTGCATCTAGGATTTGCTCGACCTCGTATACCTCATCGTCCGCATCGTGCGCCTCCCAGCTGACCTCCGGGAGGAGCTCTTCGTCGAAGTCGAACCGCTCCTCCGCTGGCACCGTCAGTCGCAATTCGGGTCGCGACGGGAATTCACGGACGGGCTTCAGCTTTGAGACGTGCACGATTGGGAACAATTGGTATGGGGTTCTGATGGTCTCCAGACGTACGGCGTGCGTGCTCACCAAATTAGCTACGCGGAACGGGCCGTGCCACAGGTGCGCAAGTTTGCGCGCGTACCCGGGCTTGACCCGATCAAGATACAGCCAGCCTTGGGATCCGCATTGTATTGCGTGTTCCGTCGCGCGCGCCTTCTGCCGTGTGGTCCGCATGTCCACTTCTTTGCGGATCAACTCGAGTGTTTGTGTGCGAGCGGTTTTGTAGTGACGCGGTATACGCATTCTCCATCGCCGAGCTTCTACGTCTCGATGTGAGGTGTTACCAATCGCTAGTGTCGCTTCCAGGGTGGACCGTGGGTCCCAACCATGCACCAAGGAAAACGGTGTTTCGTCCCATGTCCGATCGTGGGCGGTGTTCTGGGCGTAGCTGAGTCGTTCTGCGTACTCGTCCCAGTCGCGCTGATCGTTGTCCGCGATGTACATCTTGATGGCCCTCGTGATCGTCTGCACCATGCGCTCCGCCGCCCCGTTTGCTTGTGGGCGAACTCGTAGCCGTCGATCCATGAATTTATTGAAGGCCCTGAAGAAATCGGACATGAAGCCCGGCTCTCGGTCATGGCGAATAGCTTCACTAGCCCCGAAACGCATGAAGACTGCCTCCTCATATGATTCGGCGACTGTCTGCGCGGTTCGCGACGCACTTGCCTTCGCGATAACGAAACACGTAAACAGGTCAACCCAGATTAGCAACTCCGTGTTTCTCTTGTGTGACGCGGGCAATGACGGTATGTGGTCCATCGCGACCACTTGGAATGGATACGTCGCTATGATATTCCCGGGAGATTCCCCTTGGATTGTCGGTCTGCAATTGCCCGACTCGCAGTCGACGCACTCTCCGACGTGACGCTGTACGGTTTTGAAACCCTGGTCAGTGAAATGATGTCGTATGCGTTGGTACGTTTGGCCTATACCTTGGTGCCCGCCTTCTAGACTTGCGTGATAGTGGTTTAGCACGTCTTGCCGGAGGGTCTCTGGCACGACCAACTTCATGATCGAGTCCCGGTCTTCTGTCGATTCGTCTCCCCGTGCGTGGTAGTACAGCAAGCCACTCTCTCCCACCTCCTATTGTTCTGTGATCTTCACACAGCTCTTCACCTCCTGTTTTGAAAGCTCGCTGATATCTTCGCTTAGGAACTTCTTGAGGTTCGCTATCCAGATCTCTTCGTCCTGCGCCGTACGGACCCGATCCAGTCTCAGCCGTTGCACCTGTATTTCCTTCCAGGCTTCCGGATGTCTCCGCGTGGTTTGGTGGGACGCGTCGCGCGACCGGGTGGTCACAGGATAGACTCTCCTCGTCCCGCGTCTCTAGTCGTCAGGATAGCGTGTTTCAAGTTCAGCGACGGGGTCATCTGTACCGCGTGTTTCACGCCCCGGAACGGGTAGCGTGGGTTGTAGCACTTCCCCCAGCCGATTTAATGTCTTCAGATCCTCGATCTCCTCGACGCTATGGACGTCTTTGCCTCCTTGTCGTTGGAATGTTTGTCCGTCCAACATATCTTCACTCGCGTTCCAGTCTCGTCGGACATGTAGAAACTCGAGCCCGACCGTTCGCGCAGCGCGTTTTAAAGCCTGTTGTCTCAACAGCTTTAATCCGTAGTCCATCTCTCCTCGCATTTGGCGAACCGCCAGGTTTGAATCACCGCATATGATTAAGCGTGTGACATCCAAGTCTTCTAGGAGCGAGAGCCCGAGTAGCATGCCCCGGTATTCGGCTTCGTTACCTGTGAGACCTTCCGCGTATCCAGAAGCGGTTTTTACCACGTCCCGATTTGGTAGCTGCCAGACTACTGCGCTGAATGCACCACCTTCGCGTTTGACGCGGGCTGATCCGTCGAAATTGATCACGTGGAGACTCTCTCAGACTCTCGGTCCGTCCGATTTTCGGGACCGGGATCGCAGCCGTCTTAGACGGGCGTTTTGAGGCGCGATATCTTCCAACGCGGAATCTACATGGGCCCTCGGCGTGATGCTTGCAGCCAACGCTCCCAGAATCTCTTCCTCCCCTTTCGCTGACCGGAGGATTTCCAATCGCCAGGGAGAGAGGATGGCGACCCATTGCGACAGACGACCTTGCAAGCCCTTTAGACCCGAATAGCCAACCCAGGGTTGTATGTCGGGTCAACACGCGAATCGTCTTTCCCACCATCATGTTGTGGCACTCGTTCAAGACGTGCAGCCGCGCTAGGATCTCCTTCTCGATGATGATGTTGTAGTTCAGCTCGTTGTGCTTCAACGTCCGGCTAGTGAACTTGACTGCAACCCTCTTTGCGTGCACGGAAATCCAGCGCCGCTAGTGCTTCCAAGTTCTTTGGCTTCGCCCGACTTCATTTTCCGAAACCTCGTGTCCCAATAGTTCACCCTTGGCATTCCCCATTCGCTTTTCTCGACACTGATCGACAGGTGCCACTCCTCGCAAATCTCGAGGAGAAGTTCCACCTTTTTGCACAAGTCATCCCAAGCCTTCCCCTGATCAGGGTATCATCAATGTAGGACCGTCGACCAAGCACGGACCGTGTTCCCGACTTGGACGGAACCCCGTCCTGGAAAACGTCGCGGGTATCTTCAGTCGACGAGAGTTTCCAGAAGCCGTACAGCGCATTGTCTATCAACCGCTGGTATAATTGTGGCGCGTTGTATAAACAGAATGGCATACACAGTCACTCGAACAGCTCGAATGATGTGATGAACGCGGAGAGGAGACGGGCTCGGTCCGTCATCGGGACTACCCAAAATCCGCTAACCATGTCTAAGGAGCAGTACCATCGGTACATATCCAAGTCTTCCAAGAGGTCCGTGACCAGTGGCATCGGGTACACCATCAACTGGGTCCAACTGTTGACCAACCTGTAATCGACACAGAGTCTGATGTCGACGCCATTCTTCTTCACGATGACGACGATAGGGGAAGCCCACGGTGACTTCGACGCGCGGATCATACGCGCGCTGAAAAGTCCTCGGATCAAATCGGCTAGTTTCTCGCGAAACTGCGATGAGATCTTCCGGACGCGTTGTGGGACGGGCCTCGCGTTTCCCACATCGATGTCGCAGATGACACCCTTCGCTGCAGATAGCAGAGCGTCGCCCTTCCTGATCAACCATTTATGCGTCTTCCAGACCATCTGGCGTAGCCGTTCTTCCATCTCTGCAGCTTCCTCCGGGTCAACTCCTTCCAGACACCCGGTTTTGAGATCTTCGATCTTCACCTCTTCCGTCAACGGAACCTCTGGCAACATTGCCATTTCGGCTTCCACGTCTTCTGCGAATAAGTCTGACCCTTCATGGAATATCACCTCCTAGTCGGCGTACTCGTACTCTGGAATCTCCTTGAAACTAGGATCGGGCTCTTCCGTCGACCCCATCTTGAGATGCGGTCCGTGCTCGGGCTCCGCGCCAAGACGTGTTCCGTGCTCGAGCTTCGGAGAGAGGGCGTCCCGAGTCTTCACCGCATCGGCGAACTCAGTATTATATTTCCGTGAAACGGTTGATACAGCCGCTACCTTTCTCCCTTGGTGCTCTCCCTGCGGGTTCCCTGGCTTCTTTGATCGGCCCAGGTTCGCTTGTGGATCGGCATACTCTCGCCGTTCCGTCATTGGACCACCAGCCTCCCGGAATATGGCTTCGTCATTTACGTCCGAAGTCGCTCCGTACGCCAAGTTTTGCCACTCGTCATACTTTCGCGATCCAGGTTGTACGAATCCAAACGCGCGAGGTACTGCATCGATAGGCGTCCACTATCCAAACGTTTGTATGTGCGTCCAGCACGGTCGATTTCTCTCCGATATTCGTAACGCGCAAGTACGTACGACGTCCGACGGGAGCCTTGATCTGGAAATGTACCCACGTCGCTCCTCGTGTCATCCACAAGGGCGGTACACCTTTCTCTGGTCGTAACGGCACGTCGTAGACCTGACCGGCAGCGACGGGGATCAACGACGGAATCGTCACCGGACGTATTCGCGATCCGTACAACGGTCGTCTTCCAATCATCTGGATGCGGACTTCACCTGGGAGACATCCTGTGCCGTCCGCGGTATCGATCTACACCCCTGCAGGCACCTTGAAATTCATTCTGAAGATCGCGTTCTGGCCGACCAAGTCTTCGACCCAAAGGTCTATGTAGTACACCATGTTCCCCGCCAGCGTGACTTTGACACGCGTCTTCCCCACCGTGAAGTACGTTTCGTCTCTGATGCCCACATATTCCTGTCTTACACTCGTATCAATTTGGCAACCTATCTCACGAGCAAAGGTGTTGTCCAGGATGGACACCTCGGCACCTGTATCGAGCAGCAGCACGGTTTTCCGATTGTTCAGCTTTCCATGGATCTTGGCGTGCTTGTACCACTTGTCCGGCGCGTAATGTTTCCAGAACCCGCGTCGTTCTCCTGGTTGCAAGTCGATCGCGCTCAACGGTGTCTCCCGCGTGTATTCATCCGTAGATCGGATCGCCGAAACTCGGGGAGCGCGTTCTAGCGCGGTACGTACCATTTTGGATTCGCATGTATTATCATTCAGTGTTGCCGTGCACCTACTAACTTCATCTCTTGATCTCTTGGCAACGTATGCATAGACGGACATAGATCGCTCGTCTCGTACTGGTTTCCATACCAGCGAGCGACCTAGTTTAACATCTTCTCGGTGGTGGGAGGGAGCATCCCGGCGTACTTCTACGGATCATACCACTGACGCAACCGTTTGAAGAAATATTCCAAAGATCACTTTCCAGCCTCGTGCACGTCTCCGCATGCTTTGCATGCACGTAGACAACGGTCCGTTGGGTGATGTCCAGCGCATTTCTGACATGTCAGTAAACTCCAGCAGTTTCCCTCGGAGTGACGGCGTGATCCGCAGTGTCGATATTTTGGTCTATCGTGAATCGCTCCACCCGTCTCGAAGTCGCGGCGCGCGTTCTCCTGTTGCGGCTCGTGCCCCGTCACAAACATCTTGGCCCGTTCTCGTCGTCCCGATCCTGGTCACAGATCTGGTCGTCGTCGGAGTCTCTCTCACGTCCCGAGTCATAGTCGTCGGTCGCGATCTGGACTGCATAGACGGCTCTAGCCGGCGTTGGTGTGGGCGTCGACGCTTTCTGGCTGAAACGGTTTGAGCCGAAGAGCGTCTTCTTCTGGTAAGCTAGACAGCGTTGCCGCGCTCAAAGTTTCTTCTCTAGCGTGGCCGTCTCCGGCACTTCCATCATCGTGGGATGGGATGCCAACTCTTGCTTCTGCGCGCACAAGGTGTTAATGATCAGCTCGACATGTTCGCATTTCTCTTCTGACGTCCCATCAGAGTAGCAAATCTTCGCTCTCATGCCTGCGACATTCAACCGTACAAGCATTCGAGGGGTGTTTCATCCACATGTTTGGACGCGTGGTAGTAGTGGCTGGCCATAGACATTTTACCGCAGTACTGGACGTGGAACTTGTCCGTCTACTCGGTCCGTGAAGTCCTCGTCGAGTTCTTCAGTTGCAGATACCACTGACGCGCGGGCCCGGCCATCCGATCTCTGAACAGCGCGCACACTTCGTCTCCGGTCATCCCGTCGCGTCTCGACGCAGACTTCAGTCGGTTAAACCAAGCACGGGCCTTTTCCTCGCTGGCGTCTTTTCCGTTGAACTCTTTCAGTCCAGAGAACACGAGAGGCGTACGCGCGCGACACCGGCGCCAGCCTTAGCGGTGGAGACAGCGGCAGCGGGTCCAGATAGTCCGGCATTCAGGTCGAAGGGATCATCCGGGTCTTCATCTTGGCCTCGCTTAGAGCGCGACGACGAGCGCGAGCTCACCGACTCCATCGGGACGTCCGTCGACTCTTGAGGGACCGTGTCCGTCGTGGCGCGGCGAGACCCGGGCGTCGGCCTCACGTAGCGCGGAGGGGACGGCGTCGTCCCGGGCGCAGTTTGCATCCTTGTCGACTGCATCAGTCGGACGATCGCGTCTTCCAGAGTTTTGGGTATGAGTTCCTCTGTGAACGGGGTTTCCAGTTTAGCAGGAGTCGCTGCGAGCTGCATCACGCGTGGCGGTCGGCGCATCGACATCCGTCTTGGGGATTCGACGCTGCTGTCAGAGCCTTATCTCGATGCGTACCTCGGTGAATGAAGCACGACCCTGCCTTGCGGGCCGGGGTCGAAGTCGTCTTGCGTTTGACCGTGCCGACCAAGACTGTAAGCGGATCGAGCATCGCGTGGATCGCGTTCATCCAAGACTCATGGTCCCAGTCGTACACCCTCTCCATCTTGAAAGCACCCAATACGGGGCTCGCGTAATACAGCAAACAACGCTTGGATTGTCAGCCGGACACTTGTGAGTTTCGAGAGGTCCGGGTCGTGAGACGGTCCCGTGCGTTCACCGATCAGCTTCGGTTTGATGAAGCTGAGAACCGGGTTCCGTTCTAGTTGTCGAAACAACTCCGTGCGACACAGCGCGTACTCCAACTCTTCCGCGGTGTATTGACGTCCCGCGTCTTTGGATACCGTCTTGGACGTCCGTTCGTCCTCCGACTCCGGCGCAGGCATCTTCTTCTTATTCGACTTGCGGTTCACCGGTTTGGCCCTAGTGGGTACTGGTTGTTGGTCTTCCACTCTCTCGAGCTTCAGACCTGTCGAACTTCGTCTTGCCTCGAAGTCCGCGGTGGCTCCGGGCGGAGCCACATCGGGAACGGCAAATTGTTCTTCGTAGCCCTCGTGGTCGTCGCTGGACCCATGACTTGTCGTGAAGGTTCCCTCCGAGCTCCACGACGCAACAAGTTTGTTTTCTTCGCGCTCGCTTGCTACCGACAACCTTCCGATCAATGGTGCTCCCGTAAATGACTCTTGCTTTATCTCCACTCCGTCACCAGTTCGCGGCATAATTGTGGAGTAGCGGGCTCACATTTTCGTGTAAACTTGCCCTCGCACAAACCCTTCGCGGTCGAATCGATGGCTGCGTCAGGTATTTCCCCGTGACTTGTAGTAGCATATCTCAGGTCAGGGAGGCGATGTAGCTATAGTATAGCCTTTTTGTTGCGGTATGTGTCTTAATAGACGTGTGTCAGTTCTGACGACAACTTCCGGTTTTGTTCACCTTCAGTCGTGGGGGTTTGTCCGTGACCGTGCGGCGGTATCGGGCCGGCGTGTCCAAGGGGGAGTGGGACGTTATCGGACCACCATTCGTTCTTCGTAGCCCGCGTCCTGTCATCGGAGGACGCTTCGACGGTATTCTTTTACGTGTCCCTCACTGCAGGCACGGGGTGTTGGGGGTGAGTGCACCTATCAGTCCAAACACCGGGGACCGCACTTATCGAGGCGGCTCTGCTTGCCAAGCGTAGGAAGACCTTCAGGCGTAGAAGACTTAGACTTGTGTGAGACTAAGAATTTTGGAGACTGGTCCTATCCTAGCCATCCTAGCCACTGGCTACCTTCCTACATGATTTACCTACCATATCATATCTAAGTGCAACCCTAATCCGCGCAGTACCTCTACCTGAGTTATGATCCGAGCTCGGATGGGCTAGCACGGGGGCTCGCACGGGCTCGTGTCACGGGTCGGTCTGGGTTTTGGACCGGGTCGTGTCGCGGGTCAACACGGGCTCGGGACCGGGGTCACTATAGTGAGCTATGTCATTTTTGTGACCGTCTGATTCGACTCCGAATCAGATTGTCCGTCAATCATTCTGGTCTTTTCCCGTCACTCTCGCCCCGTGTTACCGGCCAACTGCCACATCGGGCTGCCACATCTTTCGCTGCACTCCATCATGTCATTTTCAAGGCACCCCACCACATGTGTAGAGCGACTTTTACTCCTCCTTGGACCTCCGTTTGACGTTGGATTGGTGGTCGATTGGGGCTGCTATCGGCAAAGTCCCGGGGTGTTAACTAGTCGAAATACATCCAAGTATGTAGGGCGACCTTTTCTCGAGACGGGGCATCCGTTGGCGTTTAGACGGTAGTCATTTGGGGCCTCCATCGGCAACGCCCCGAGGTATTAACTAGTCGGAATACACCTACGTGTGTAGGGCGACATTTACTCGTGACGGGACATCCATTTGACAATAGAACGGCGGTCATTTGGGGCCTCCATTGGCAAAGCCCCGATGTGTTAACTAGTCGGAATACATCCACGTGGGTAGGGCGACATTTACTCGTAACAGGTCATCCGTTTGACATTGGAACGGTGGTCATTAGGGCTCTACATCGGCAAAGCCCCGGGGTGTTAACTAGGCGGAATACACCCACGTGTGTAGAGCGACATTTACTCGTGACAGGCA